ATTTCTGAGACACATCATCTAGAAATCCGAAAATCATAGGTTGTTAAATATATGTCAGAGCATTATTGATAACCTGAACTAGTATTTGATGAGCAAAACAACTTAGTGCAAAGAGATTTGGCTTAGGAGTTTTGTGAACAACTGAACCTAATCATTACTACATGTTTAGATTGTTAGGATTTGCAAAGAGATTTGAAACTCTGTGATTTAGGCATAGATAACTTCTGCAATGAGAATTGATTAGTTATATATCAGTGATTCATGTTCAAAACGGTTCTTAATCATTCCTGATTTCATGCATGCATTCTACATTCTTGGATTCAACCTGCGAACTGTCCTGACTTAGCACATTTAGTCTTCTGAAACTTAGATCAAACAACAGATTCGCTTGCTTACTTTTATTTAATTATTCGCATTACATACATTATATTGACTTAGCTTAATCCAAACCTACATTCGATAGTGTATTTTGCATTACTCTCTTGGGATTTGATACCCCTTGTACTACAACTGCTTTTGCTGTGCACTTGCAGTAGTTTTATTTGGGTAAAATCTGAGCCCTATCACGTAGTCATCATGGCTCAGGGCTGAAGGTCTCATCATAGTCTTCTCCATACTTTTGAGAGAATCCCAGAGCAACCAACCTTGCCTTGAATCTATCAACATTTCCATCTGTTTTACGCTTGATCCAGTGCACCCATTGACAAGAAACGGGTTGGACATCCTTGGGTTTTGGAACCAAATCCCAAGTTTTGTTCTTTATGAGACATTCATCTCCTCTTTCATTGTGCTCTCCCACTCGTCAACGCCTTTTGCTTCATTATAAGATGTTGGCTCATCTTCATCTAATGGAGCTGCAAAGTATCACGAGAAGGTAGTAACAAACTTTGGATATCTGAACCAAGCAGGCTTAACGATGGTCCTTTTAGTCCTTTGAATAGCCATGGAACCATGATCTTCCTCCTCATCCTCCTCTTGATTAGTGCTCCCCCTTTCACTTTGCATCTCTATTTCAGGACCTCCGTCCTTACTCAGAGCTGGTTTATCACTCTTGGAGGAACTCCCACCTTCTTGCTCAACTAAGAATTGAGGTGGCCCATAAAATGAGGAAACTTCATCAAAACAACATCTCGAGACACTACATACCTGTATGTCTCTGGATCCATACACCTCCAACCTTTTCTTTGTTCACCATAGCCAACGAAGATGCGCCTTTGCCTCCAACTTGGTTCTTTGAGAATCGAACATATGGACGTAGCAGACTGATTCAAATATCTAAGATGTTTCACTGACGGCTTCTTCCCATGAACCATCTCATAAGGAGACTTCATGTTATTTGGGCTGACTGGCATCTGGTTGATGACGTACGCTGCAAATCTCATGCCTTCCGCCCACAAGGCCTTAGGCAGATACTTCCCATATAGCCAGCTTCTGCACGTCTCAGTTAGATGTCAGAACTTCCTTTCTGCAACTCCATTTTGTTGAGGTGTATACGCACAATTAATCTCTCTCTTTATTCCATGCTTTTGTCAAAAAGAGAGAAACTCCTTTGACATGAACTCCCCTCCATTATCCGTTCTTAAGGTCTTGATTCTCCGACCGAGCTCCCCTTCCATGGTATCTTTGAATTCTTGAAACTTGGAGAATACTTCTGATTTTTCCTTCACAAAGTATACCCACGTGTGCTGTGAGAAGTCATCAATGAACAACAGCATGTACCGAAATCCGGAATATGAGGGTGTTCGTGGAGGACCCATCAAATCACTATGGATCATCTCCAACAGAGCACTGCATCGTGAAGTGGAGTTGTCAAATGGAAGTCTATATGATTTTCCATATTGACAGCCTTCATAAAGCTTTCATTCATCTTGAATCTTCAGCATCGGAAGCCCATCAACAAAATCCTTGTTCACCATAACCTTTAGCTTAGTCATGTTTATATGACCAGGCCGAGCATACCATATAGAGGCATTGTCGTTTGTACTCATCTTCTCTACATATGAGTTAGATGCAGATAATACATATAGATCCTAAACCTGCGATCCGATGTGAACCACATCCACATTTAACTCTTTAATCTTCTTCAAGAGTTTGACATCTCTTGGGCCAAATAAAACGTAGTTACTAGAGTCTACTACATTCACCACAGAGAGAAGATTCTTCCTTACTCCATGGACATGGTATACATTCTTTAGAGTGATAGGGCTTCCATCGTCTCCTTCAGTGACTACAGTCCCTTCCTTCTCGACCCGGTGAACTGAATTATCCGCAATAATTATGGCTTCTTTTCCATCATGGCGCTGAAGTCTAGAAAATAGCTTATCATCTCTGGTAATATGATGGCTACAACCTGAATCCACAATCCAATCATTTCCAAGCTTTTTAGTTGTGGATGTACCTGAAGATGCAGCCTCCACCGTGAAGCATTTCCCCCATTCTTCGTCTTCAGTATGACCTTTTGATTCTACCATATTTGTCTCCTTCAGCTTGACTCGGCAAATCTTTTTTGAAATGCCCAAGCTTTCCACACCGGCAGCACTTGAATCGCTTCTTATCTCCTGTAGAAGATCCTTCCCGTCCATCGACGTTCTTTGTACCATCGTACTTGGATTTGGCTTTGAAGTTCTGTTGCTTCCTAGCTACAAAGGTGCTCCCCGAGTCATCATAGATTTTGACTCCTGCCATTTGCATAGCTAATGACTCTTGCGAAGCTAGCAGGATCTTGAACTCCTCCAAGGATGGTTGTGTAGCCCATCCTTGAACCGAAGTCACAAATAGTGCATACTCAGGTCGTAGACCTCGAATAATATACTGTTTTAGATGTGTTTCAGAATTTGACTCCTCCGGATTTAGAGTATTAATCTCAGAGCGAAGATTCTTTACATTGATAAAAAAAACTCTGAGATTGAAGACTTTCCTTGCTTCGCATACGCCAGCTCGTTCTCTAACAGTTGTAGCCGAGCTTCATTCTTCTTGTTGAACAACTGATCTAACTCATGCCAAATGGAACTAGTGGATGTGCAACTTGAGACATGCTCAAAGACTCCCGAGGATATTGACCTCTTCAACGCAAACTCCGCCTTGGCATTCTTCTGTGTCCACTCTTTTGTCGCTTCCACTGTTGCAGCAGCTCCCCTTGGTGGTGTTGTGCTACTGCCGCCGACGACATCCCATAAGTCCTCACTCACCAAGTATGACTCCATGCATGACCTCTATAACTGGTAATTAGATTGGTTTAAAATCTCCATTTCCAATCCAACTACACAGCCCGTTGATTCCATACTTAGAATTAATCTGAGATCTCAATTAACCTGATTTTGAAAAGAACCAGATCAGAATGGCTCTGATTCCATGTAAAGAAAAACACCAAATAGTGCTTAGCACTAGTCCAAGACTGTAATATCCGAGAGATCCGAAGGAAACAAAGACCTTCTAAATATGAATAAAGAGATGGAAAAACACTTAAGAGAAAACTTGAAAGAACTTTAGAGAGAATAAGAGAACTTATGAAGAACACTTTTTATTTACTTGTTCAACTTCACATATTTACAAATGATTGAGGAGTGTGCTATATATAGGCTCCACTCATTACAAAATATCTTACAAACATTCTCCTATTTTTTAGAATTCGCTACAATAATATCAAGATTTTTACCCACAATATCTAGAATTATCTATGCAAATCTCTAGATATTTAACTAATAAAATTATATAGAACACTTAAAAAGAGTATGATTTTTAATAATGATCTAGAGAGATTCTAGAACTTAACTTAATTTTATACTTAATCAAATAAAAAATAATTAATTTATGAACCCAAAATTAAGCTTAATCTAAACTCAAGTTTAACTCCAATAATAACACACCTATTCACGCACTTCAGTTAGGAGATCCAGTTGTTGTGAATATATAACTCAATAAGAGAGTAAGAGAGAGAGATGCTTACCTTTTTTTTTTCATCTTGAGTCGATCATACATTCATACAAACACCAAACTCTTGGGATTTGAAGTCATATGTCTGAAAACTGGAATACACAGCCACAACAAATCAACAGAGTAATTTATACGATCAAGAGTTGTGAAGAGATTATTATACATTAATGGAAACAAAAAAGTGTGATGGTAAGATATTAATCAATCACCTTTTCTGGAACAAGTACACACGTATTATGTTCAGGAACGCTTGAGAAAGCTTTATTTTTTATTCTCAGAAGCTGCAATTCAATTGATTTTTGAATCAAATGGGTGAAATTTCGTACAATATGAAGCAAAAAAACTAACATAACAGGTATCTAATATCTATCTGTTTTTTACTTATTTCAAAGAAGCGAAGTAAATAAATTAAACATTGAACACTGAAACCTCCAGAGAACTTATCAAATCAGAAAAGGTTACATTACTAAAATCACCGTACCAATAATCAGATCATCGGGTAGACCATGGAAAGCTATTTACCCCAATTCCTTAAGACTAATACCAGAAAACCGGTGTCTTGCCAAATCAAAACCGCCTTAATAATCTTTAGAGCCCGAGTGTCCACTGTTTCACAGGCGATTAAAAGTCTGGATCTTCAGAATCAGCAACAAGCTTGAGTTGAGGCTCGATTAAGACAGCACATTAAGTTTCTAGATTCTCACAAATTTAGTACATTAAGTTTCTAGATTCTCACGCGAAGCTTTGATATGTTGAAGCAATTTTTCGTTTAGCTTGAGTTATGGTTTCTGTATTCTACTGTAAATGTATTTCTTCTATGTTTTCCATGTAAATGTATCTATAGACTTAAAAGAAGCAACAACAAATAATAAGTGTATCTTCACTTTTTGTAAGGGATGTGGATTTGCATATGGAATCCCTCTTTTGTCTGCATATTACTACTCTTGCAATGTAAAATAGACATCAGTGGATGAATAATGAGTAGAGTGTTACATTATTTACTACTGAAACTTGTTAATCCGCATTCAAAGAACAAAATAAACAACAAACTCTGATTGATATTATTATACTTTCTCCAGCTCCACTCGGTGTTTCTCAATCTGTTGTTTCACTAGCTTCTGCGTTTCCTGGATTAGCTTTGTGTGCTTCTTTATAAGCTCCTCTTTTGTCTTAAGCTCTTCCTCCATTACCGCAATCTCCTGTTAGCAACAGATCAGAGCAAAAACTTGGTAAAAGACAAATGGGATTTGGAGTTATCACATTGATTGGGTTTGTGAGGTGACCAAAAAGCTAACCTTCTTCAGGCTTTCTGCTCCCGTTTCAATCCCATGAAATAAAGCTGAAGCTTTTTCGCAGCTTCCATGAAATCTCTGGCGTGCCGGCTCAATATCAACTGCAGAGTTCAGTAGGGTACAATCCACAAATTGATTCATCACAGATCAGCAAACAAGTTAGGCTAATTGTTGAACCAGAAAATCATCACTAGGGTTTTGATTAACAGTTGTGGGTTTTGGAGAATAAGATCTTTTATTGATAGCAATAAGCGAAGCGATTACAATGAAAAGGATAACCAAGAGGTTATGTCGAAGTGAAATAAGATGTTTGCGAAGTGAACTAGAAAGCGTTGATTTCTGGTTTTAGTTCTCCTGCTCTCTATATTGTATTTGTTGTCCTTCTTGGCTTCGGAGTATTCTTATTTATAGAGGTTGCTCCGGACTCCTTTTCCTTTTTGCCTTTAGTGAATATTTCCATATTTGCGATATGAAATATCTCTTATTCTCTGAAAAATATGGAAATTCTCTTTTATCCCTCGAGTTGATCCGATGTATCCGGACTTCGAAGGTTAACCTTAAGAATTTTCCTTTTATCCAAGCTAGGTCGCTGCAGTCCTCCTAATTTTGATGAGCTTAGGTTACTACTAAAGACAGCCTTTTAGGAAATGTGCTCATTTCCCCTCTAACAGTAAGTCCCCCCCCCCCCCCCCCCAGTTCGGCGAGACTGATTGTAGATCAGGTCGGCGGACTTTATGAAGTTTTAAGTGGGTTCGATCTTGCATTAAGCATAAGCTCGTCAAGAGTGTTTCTTCGTGATGACCAGCTCAGCCCGATTTTAAGTGGATTTGACGCGTGGTGCTCCTTAATTAATTATTTAAATGTTTCGACCAATTTAGGGTTTTGCTTTCAAGCGGGAAAGGCGAAAAGCTCGTCAAGCGGCGAGATTGTGCGAATCTTGACACACGTCCCTTTAGGAAACTGTTGATATTTCTTCCCGATTTTATTACTTGCTTTTACCTCTTCGTCTCCTTGCTTCAGATATTTTTTTGTCTTCTTACTTCAGAAATTTTCAACTTTCTCCTGTTTTCGCGATAATCCTCCTTTCTTATTCGCCGATCTTCCATTCGCTTTCGTAATATACCCAAAAATTTTCTAAATTGTTGACTTCGACTCTGAACTCTTCTTTTGATGACGACGAAATTTGTCTCGCCGACCGTGCCAGGCGGGCCTGGATTAGCCCAGTGGCTTCTTCTTCTTCTTCTAATTCTGGAGAATCCTCGGGTTACCGAGATGAGATTATGTCGGGTCATCCCGACATAGATTCCGAGATGGAATCAGATAATTTCGAGACAGAGGGCTTTGAACCAGAAATTAGGATCGAATGTCTTCCGCAGAAGATCGCAATGTCAAAGCACAGGACCGGTATTAAGGACAGGAGGACCTGGATGACTGCGGAAAGGCTCCAGGATGTTCACTCAAAATGTCATTTTCCTGAGGGAGTCGAGCTTCTACTGCCCCAGGTCCATGAGAGAGTAACCACACCGCTGGAGGGCTGTTTTTGCATTTATGAATGCCACTTCGCAGACTTCGGCATTCAGTTCCCCATTTTGCTGCTTCTTCGTTACTGCGAACGGAGGAAGATGCCAGTGGTGCAGCTCTCTGACACTGTAATCCATCATTTTAACAGTCTGGCGGCGGTAGCTCGTACCACGATGGTTCCTTTCAACTGGGATATCTTTGAGAGGATATCTACTCTGAAGAAAGGGAGGTTAAATTGCGGTGGGTGGCGCCATTTTTATACTTCAATGAAAGAGGGAATTATCGGTGGGGACCCGACAAGTAAAGTCCACGAATGGGACCGATTTTTCTTCTATGTGAAGATTAACGAGGCGTCCATTGGCAGCTCCGAGCTTAATTTATTCAGAACCTGGAGGTCGACGCCAAGTAAGACGAACTGATTTTTATTTTACTTTTCTCTAGCTAATTTTCCAGATGCTGATGCGTTCCCCTCCTTTTTGCGATGGAAGTGGCAATACGTCTTGGAGATAACCCGTTTGGTTTTTGACGTTGACATCGCGACCTGAGCCAGCAGTTATGGTCCGAGAAGGAGAATAAGGGGGCCGCTGAGGAGAAAAAGAAGCCAGCGAAGAAGAAAGCCGGTCCTTCGAAAGCAGGTGCGTTAGTAGATCGAAGTAGTTTCGATTAGTATGTTTGTTGGCGACGAGGTCTTATTGGCACGTTTTGTCTTTCAGCCGCTAAAAGGCCTTTCCAGCCGAAGCCCGAAGGGGCTGGTTGAAAAAAGAGGAGGGTGGCTCCATCAACGAATGCGGATGCTGTTGCGAGCTCCTCTGCGAAGAGAAGGAGGATGACTCCCCGGGATCCACCTGTTTTGGTGGATTCTGACGATGCTGAGCTGGCCGCCGAGAATGAGACTCTCGCGAGGTAAACTCCTTTTCATTCTTTTGTTTTTTTTTAAACGCTTCGTTTTCTTTTTTTCTCGAAGTTTCTACAGGACAGCTGCGCTGGAAAGATTGAGGCAAGCTCGGGCCGAGAAAGATGCGAGGGGTCCTCAAGGCGAAGCATCCCAGAAAACTGCCTCTCGAGCCAAAGGTGGTGGCGATGGGGGTGCTTCTGATGCTGCCGAGGCCGTTCCCTCGCCGCCCTGAGCTGATATTCCTCGGGGTCCCGGGGTCCAGGATGCGGAAGATACAGGTCAGGAAAGGACCGAAGAGCCTACTGTGGCTCATTCTAAGGGAGCTACTCCTTCTCAAGATGCTCCGAATGCTAACGGTGTTGGCCCTAGCGCTCCCGCTAAGCCCAAGCAGAAAGAAGAGTTCTTCGATTACAACCCTAATCACTTTAGCGTGAAATGGGATGGAGCTACTTCAGCAATGCTTGATCGCGACTTTGCTGCCAAATTAATCTGAAAGTGCAGGGAGAACCCAAGATGGGGCAAACCTGTACGAGAGCTGAAGTTGGCAAAGTCGATATCTTCGGCGAGCCATTGATAGCTCGGGTATGCATACTTTTCTTTATGTTCTTTATTTTGTCTCGTTGCGTGCTTTTCTCAATGGTAAGCTATGGTATAGGGCCTGGGAGAGTACATGCCTGCGTTCGCAACATTTGACAATGAGTATTGCGAAGAAGCAATGATGTTGAACGTCGCCTGCGCCAAAATCGAGGGGCTTGAAAGGGCAGAAAAGGAGAATCAGCTTCTCAAAAAGAAGTGCGCCCAGCTCGAAGGAACTATTGAAGCCTTCAAAGGTGAGGTGGCGGAAGCTTCCCGTCTTGGAAAGCAGGTGGCTGCTCTCTGTGCGCAGAATGAGTTGCTCGAGAAGCAGAACGAGGAAAATTTGCAAAGGTTCCTCGCCGAAAAAGAAAAGCTTTGAGAGTCTTATGACGAGGTTTCGCGAGGTGTTGCTGACAGAATCTTCGACAGTATGATCGCTTGGTTCAAGCCACGATTAGATCGGATTCAGGCTTCACTAGTTCAGCGCAAAGAGGTAGAAGCAGCCCTTGTGGGCGTAGAGAAGAGTCGCTCGATGGTGGTATTTCTGAAGAAGATGCTGGACAAAGGATGGGAACTCCCCGCCAGGACACTTCCATCTTTTGAGAATGAGTTCACTAAATGGTAGGCTACCAGTGATGCTATTGACGAGATAGTCATTACTGGCGAGGACCTTAACAACCCGAGCATATCGGAAATTGAAAGTCTGCTGAAGCGAGCATAAAGGGAGTCAAGAGATGTCACGCATCTAGCTGCTTTTATATACATTCTTATTTGACCCTTGCGATGTCTTTATTATTTTTTTTTTTTTTTGTAATAACTCTGCCCGAGAGGGATTTTAATAATGAATGTTGTTTTGCCCTTCTCTCTTTTTCTGCGTACCAAAATTTTGGAGTTTCTGTTGTGTGATGGAACTTTTTAGTCGGGAGTTGGAAGCAGGATTCCTTTGCCTATCTTATACCAAACGACGATCAAGATCGAATACCAAGCTTTCAGGATTCACTTCGGCCTGAAAGGTATGATCGAGGGTCGTACGAGTATTGTCCTCGGCTTTCTTCTTATCTACTTTGGAAGTAATTAAATCGAACCGAGGTATCAAAGGAGTGGTGATCAGCCACTGTTTTTTTTATTTGTTTTGCTTTTTCGAATCGAATGTTTGGCCAGAACATCGATTCAGCATAATGCATTCGCATAAGTAAATATGACTCTACACGCCGAGCTGATTTTCCGAAATAAAAATTAATTGAATTTAGAGCTGCACCCGGAGGTTGCCTACGTACCCAAGTTGGGATCAAGCCGTTCGTAGTTCATTACAATTATTGAATGAGTGGTATCACTCAGGGGCCAAGCCCGCTTTTATTGGAATAAAAAGAAAACTAAGTATTAATATTGCTAGATTCGTTGTTGAATCTTCTTCGCTTATTTAGCGTCTTCGAGGGCTTTTTCCGCGGAGAGTCACACCTTTCGTTCGCTAATAAAGCAAGATCTTGCCATCTGCTGATTGCAGCAAAGTGTGAAGACTCCGGCTGAAGTAGCAAACTTCATGCATTGATGGTAGGTCGACACGATAGCTTTCATCTCGTGGATCCAAGGTGTACCAAGTATGGCATTGTAGATTGCTAGTTTATCTATGATAGTAAATTTGACAATTTTTGTCACTCCGCCAACGTAGACTGTGAGTCGTATGGTCCCGAGGCTGAAGAAGGACTCGCTAGCAAAGCCAGTTAAAGGCTTTGGTGCTGTCTTGATGTCTTTGTCCTGGAGTCCCATCTTGGTCAATGTATCTTTAAAGATGATATTGACAGTGTTGCCGGTATCCACCAATATTTTAGCCACCTCACTATCGTGGATGTGTAGTTCGACCACTAGGGGGTCGTTGTGCAGGGTGTGTAACCCGTGCATGTCTTCCAACGTGAATGTGAATTTGGGTGGTAGTCTACCGGGCGAGGGAACTTTCGTGAAGCGATCGCTTTACGGCCATATTCTTTGATGGCGCGAACCGAATCATCGCAGTCGGGGAGTCCTCCCATGATCATGTTTACTCGTCGTTTTGGCGGAGGGGGCGGATTGTCATGCTCGCCCTCACGTTTCGGTGCTCCGCTCCTTTATC